AGGAATGAGCACCGTTCATGAGGTTATTGTGGCCCAGCACTCTGGCCTTCGAGTGCTCGGCTTCTCCTTGATCACCAACAAAGTGGTCACTGAGTACGACAATGAAGAAGAAGCCAACCACGAAGAGGTGCTCGCTGCCGCCGCCGAACGTGCCAAAGACTTTGAGAACCTCATCACCGAGGTTGTAGGCCGCATTGGTGGCGCCCAGGCCAATGGCCACTAAGCAAGACTATGCCGGGGGCGTCACTGCATTTCATCTGCCAAATGTATTCATTAATTTTAATTTATGTTTTAACTTATTTTTCTTTCAACACTACAATCAAGTATTTGCGCACATTATTTTTACCTTGCGAAAAAGTTCTGTAACCCAACGATTAATTATAAATTTGTCAAAGTGTCTAATGAACAAGTTCAAATGATTTGATTAAATAAACTTTGAATATATGATTAACTTACTAAGAATCTTTTGCTCAAAAATAATGAATTGATGGACTTCTTTTTGTCTCTATCAGTTTTATATTTAATAAATAAATAATAAATAAACATAAATATGGCAAATGTAAATAAATATAAATAAAGTAAAAACATTTAAGAATCACTTTTTCTGATCTTTTTTAATTGAACGCTTGCGTCTCCAGTTCCAGCCATCGTATTTATCGGTGGTTGTTGTGTAGTAGTAGTAGTAACGATGGTGATGGTGGTGGTGGTGGTGATCAGGATAATTGGGCCCGTAAACATAAACATTTTGTTCATTGGATGATGCTGTAGCAGTGTCGCCTGCCGACGTCTGAAACATAGTCCGGTTAGTACTTGATTAGGTGGATGCTAATTCACTTACATGGAAAACTGTACTCAATAAAAGAGTACAGAAGACAGTAAACTAATGACAAAAGCGAATTGAATTAAAGATTAAAAGATTCAGGCTAATTTACTTACCAACGAAAACTTGTCTGAAAATAGAAACATTTTGATAAACCAGAGAATGTCAGTTATTACCAATGAATCCAATGCTTTTTATATACCTTTTTTTCTTTTTTGGTATTAACCTTCACCTAAAAGTGAACAACCAGAAATTGCTCCGTCACTGGACATTTCAAGTGTTTCGACATTTCTTGCGCATAGTTTTTCCTATTTCTTACATAACAGTCACTTTTACTTGAGAAAAACTTTCTTTGAAACTAGGCCAAGTACAAAATCAGTTTAAACTGTTTAATCGAATGCTTAATGAATGATACACGACAAATGTCATGCAGGTAGGAAATGACAAAAATGATGAGTTTGACAAAATAAAATAGAGCCAGTTTTTCCGATGTACAAACACCTTAAGCTTCGTTATATTCCGGTCTGTAGTACCAGAATCGTGCTCGAAAATCATCCGAGCAGGTAAGAAAAGCAGGAGCAGTGCTAGAGTGAGCGAAGTGGCGAATGGCATTGTTGTGGCCGAGAGAAAGAATCTGCTGTCGTTCGGCGTTTCTGGCATCCCACGTGCTCAGAGAGGTGTTCTTTTCGTCCGGTAACATCACATAGTCTTCCGTGTGATTAAAGCATCCCTGGGCACGATGCTTAGAAATACTGGCGCCAGTGTAGGCAATCAGTGCACGGCACATAGACAGCTCCCAAAGCTTGACTTGCGAATCTTTGCCAGAACTGAGGACGTACTGAAATAAGACAAAACATGTTAGCTACATTCTGATGAAAATAAAACTACATGAAACTTACTTTTCCGTTTCTACTAAATGCAACTGAGCAAACTTCACTGCCTTCATGGGCCGAGGGAAAATGAGCCACGCACCGATTTGAGACAGTGTCCCAGATGCGAATTTCGCCATCTTTAGAGCCACTGGCGTAGAGCTGGCTTGAGTTTGAGTAGCTAAGTGAAGTGATGGCTCCTTTATGCTGATCAGCAATGACGGGACTTATGAATGACTGGAACGTCGGCAGGTGGTACAGTCGTATAGTTGGCTGCTGAGTTCCAACGAGCAAGTAGTCCCCAGTGGGGTGGAATGCAAGTGCTCGCACTACTGCTGAATCCTGAACACACTTGAAAGCCCGTTTCACAGTAGGCTTGGCGAAATCAAACAGCTTTATCGTCATGTCGTGCGAGCCGGAAGCGAGAAACTGCTCTTTGGGGTGAAAGGCAAGGCAGCTGACCTCTTCGAGGTGGTCATACAATGTGCGAATCACTGGGTGGGCATCAGTAGCCCTCTCCATCAACTGAGGATCTTGAAAGTGGTCGTGGGGATTTGACTTGGCTATCATCCGGTCAACATCAAGGATTTTTATGCTGGAGTCAACAGACCCAGTGGCAACGAGAGAGCCATCTGGACTGAAGGCACCTGCTCGGCATGGACCTTTATGCGAAGTAACGTACACGGTTTCATACTGATAGGGCATCATGCCTGAGCCCCTGCGCTCAGTTTCATAGTCAAGATCAAGAGCTCCATTTGGATAGAGATGATCGCGCTGGATTACTAAATCTGAAAAGAGAAAATGGTAAAACATAAAAACCACGGCAAGAGCTTTGGGACACTCACCTCCATCAGTTCTGATGGCCCGTGAGACAATTTTCATTAGTCTGTCACTGGGAGGACACGCTTCGGTGATCTTTGCCATGCCGGCAATGTTTCTCGCTAGTGCAGCTTGACCATCGTAAAAGAGTTGACTATAAAACCATGGTCGTTAGATTCATTTGAAAAACTTCGTTGTTATTTGTATCACTTACCTTATGATCAGCTTGTACATTGCATCTCGATCACGAAAGCTCTCATTAGCTTGAGCGTGAAAATCATGACCAAGGTCATTGGAATACTGCGGAAACCCGTTGTTGCCGTTTAACTCCATGTTGATCAGATGGTGATCAGCAATTCTCTGTGGTAAAACGTCGGCAAAAAAGGAGTGAATACAAATTCCAGTTGACAATCACACTCGAGGCAGCACAACACATGAGTCCGACTGTTGCTGAAAGTATTCTGCAGAGAAAGGGCGCTTCTTCTGAAAGTTGCTTTTACTGTTGTGATTGTTTTTATTTTTTTTAACATCGTGCGTTTTCGAAAACTGCAGGAGACAACTAGGTAATTGATTTTAAAACATGACAAACGAAACGGAAAATCGCCAGCAAAGTGATGAAGTGACTCTCAGCAGCGAAGGAGGAGCACCGGTACGAGAAGAAAAGGTGCATCAACTCGATGAAGCCGGCAGCTCAACAGGTGCTGCAACCCACGTGGTCGGCAAACGAAAAGACTACCTTGAATGGTACGATTTCTTCATGAGTGCCGCCTACTGCGCCTCCTTGCGCTCCAAAGACCCTAGTACGCAGGTGGGCGCCTGCATTGTCAACCGAAAGAACCGTATCGTCGCCCTCGGCTACAATGGCATGCCAAATGGCTGCTCCGACGACAGCCTCCCCTGGAACCGAACAGCGGACGATCAACTGAACACCAAGTATCCATATGTGTGCCACGCGGAGATGAATGCCATTCTCAATAAGACCACCTTTGACCTGGCCGACTGCACCTGCTTTGTTCTTCTGTTTCCCTGCAATGAATGCGCCAAACTAATCATTCAAGCGGGCATCACAAAGGTGGTGTACATCAGCGACAAATATCACGACAAGTTTGAGTTTCGAGCTTCGCGAAAGCTTTTTCAAATGGCCGGTGTTGAACTTGTCCAGTACACACCAAAACAGAAAAAAATTGTTATAGACTTTGACAAGATTCCTTTATAAAAAAATTTTACTTAATTGTGATGAGAACTGGAGTATTTTGAGTAATCTATTTTGTCTCTGAACAATCAATCGAGGATCACATAAAGCATTATTATTCGAAACTCTCCTCTTTGGGTTTAGATACATACATGGGAAGTAGTTAATCAATAAAGATACACGCCAAACGAAAGCAGAGGCTTCATTTTTGCAATGGGATCTTGCCGAAATTCTCATTTTTTCAATTATTTTGTATTTTAGACATCTAGGAAATAAAGCCGGACTTTCTTCTGCTTAACTTTCAGTTTTGGCCATTATTAATTTAAACGATTAAATTAATAATCCCAGATAGACCTCAGAAATGATCATCTTTCCGAAGCATTTCGACGGGTTCCTTTGCAGAGAAAGCAGCTAAGTGAGAGCACCGTTGCACGTCTCAGCTGCGTCGGCCCTGTTCTCACTTCCTAGTGGCCTCGTCTCGCTCTTGTTCTTTCGTCCTCAAAGTTGGCCAATCGCCTTCCTAGGTGATGATCATCTCTACCTGGTTGCTATTCGCAGCTGTGTCGGCGTGTTCCACATCTTCAGCAGCGGGCCTCATCTAGATCAGTAGAGCAGTTCGAGGCCGTCTTCAGGTCGGTGAACGGGAAGAGGTGAGCACAAAGAGGGACAACTACCGCGGTGGTCGCCCACAAACGGGGACACCGGACAGTCGAACATGGGCGCCAGTGTGCCTATTGAGGTGAGCCAGACGGAGGGAGATATAGATATAGAGAGAAGAAAAGAGAGATTGCTCCAGTTGAGATTAGATGGCTTATCAAGGAAGAGAGAAGGAAAGAGAGAAAGATGCTGCAAAAATAGAATGGATGCTCACTCATTGCGCAATTACCGGGCAGGATTGCGCAATGAGTGAGCTAATGTGTCTGTGAGCGTGTTGGCCATTGTGCAGTCGCGCCATTGGAAAGCATTGTCTCCCTCGCAGCACCCTCACCCTCTCACAAGCACACACACATGCATTGCGCAAGTGGCAAGTAAGATCTGCAATGCGATCTCAGTGCTGCGTCTGTGTCAATGACCACCGAAGAGTGTGAACAGGCTGCTGCTAACCTGCCCAGTGCAACCTTTCACTACTGCTCTTACGCTGGCTGCGGTGTGTGTGTGCAGTACCCTGCTCTGCGACGACCGCTGCCGCTGCCTGGAGCACTCGACCTGTCCGGTAATAACCGACTGCAATAACCGCAGCATCGGTTATGTGCGCGGGTAAGTGCGGGCAGATCGGGCAGCGCGCATTGAGGACAGAGGCGAGTCAATGGCCGGGTGCTTCGTTCGTTCAACTTTCGACTCTGGCCACTGGCGGTCGGTGACCTCTCTGCCTGCCTCCGCCACTGGCGCTCTGTGCGGAGAGTCACTCTGTGAGGGAGGACAGTGCGACAGGCAGGCCAAGGGGGAAGGCGGCCAGTGGTGATGCTCGCCTCCACTACTGAAGGGCTTACCGAGGCCACCGATCCTTCCCTGCCCTGGCCTGACCTCGATCGCCCCAAACTCGAACAGTCCCTGAACCGTGTTGACCTCTGAACCACTGCTGCCTCTCGGAGCGTTCACCTTTGAGGAAGGTGGTGGCGGTGGGCACACACACACATTGTGTGGGGGCAGCGATCTCCGCAGAATGCGGAACTGGGCAACTGGGCCCTGCAAGGCCATTGACTGGGGACTAGAAGGTCCCAGTTGGCAAGCTGAGGAAGTGGTCGCATTTGCTCTCCTGTGCTCATTGCAATGGCCTGATTCATTTATTTCCAGGAAGACGAGAGAGCTTCATCGGCGAGTCTACTGTGATGCCGGTTCCGGGTGTCAGAGTCGGCGATAACTGGGTCGAGCGGGTAAACAACTGCTACTGTAACTCCTCCACACAGTAGTTAGTAGAGAGTTAGACACCCACGACACTGCAAAGTGAGTGAACACACTGCTCTGTGTGCTTGGTTGTGCCTGCATGACCTCAGCCTAATGAACTGTTCCTGGTACGGCACCGGTGCCACGATAAGCATCTCAGTTCAGGCTGCCCGTACAGCGACACCTTTAGTTCCGGTACGGTGTTTCACTGCAAGTGCTCACAAATATACCCTATTAACATTGGTTGCCACTATAGAGCAGTGGGAGAAGGAAAGGCTTGAAAGGTGTCAGACATACCGCTCCCATACCGTTGTGTTAGCTAGCGGAAAAGGGTAGTATCACGAGACTGACATCATTTCTGTAGTGGGTCCACCTACGAGCAGCCCACTTGCTTCCTTCATCGGCCTCACCGCAGTTGACCTCTCATTGAGAAGCATTGAGGCAATGCCCTTTCTATGGCTGCTCTCATTCCTCTGCACCGTCCCTCACCGCAATGGACTTTTCCAGTGGCCTCTCTCGCTCGCTTTCTTCCTTCCTTGACTGTGCGCTGAAAAGGATGCGACCATTGCACTGAAGGGATTCTCTCTGTGTGGGGTTGAGTGCTCGGCTGAGTGCACCCGCAAGAGGCACCCGCAGATGAGAGGGTCAGAGTGACAATCGAGGGTAGAAGAGGTCAAACGATGCGGAAGTAGATCTGCAGAAGGTCATCTAGAGGGTACGCAAAGGCCATTGCTGGTGCGCACAGCGGAGAAGGACACTCTGAAGGGACTTACCTGGACTGAACCAACCCAGAGGTAGAGACGGAGGGTGGTGCGTGAGTTGCGAAATGCATAAGTGCTTAAGGTGGTGAAGGTGGTGGTGGTGGTAGTGGTGTGCACACCTGAGCAAGGGTTGTGCAGACGGGAGAAGGGAAGAAGGCGGGTACTCTGACCTCAATACATCACAGCGGTGCAAGAGTGTCAAGGACAGGTAACAATAGGTGAATACAGGTAAGGGGGTCAATTAGTAGGTCATAATTAGATTAATTAACAATAGTCATTAGTGCAATTGTTACTGATGACATCTTTATTTTATTAGTACAGCTAATGAACATCAGTTTGCAACGCAAAATCATAATTGTGGACACAGGTGCACAACCAGGTGAGACTATTCTGGTTTGCAATTTATTATTGCTCTGCATTGCGCAATATTTGTTTGAAGATACTAGATGGAAAACACTACATTTGATATCGACTAAAATGATATGATTGCACTGGTGGCGATGCTTGGTGGTGGAAAAGAAAACTATTTGACAACTCGAAGCAAAGATCAATGTTCAATTACGTTATTTTTGCAATATAATTTAAAGCATTTCAATACAGGACCTCCAAAAGTCAAAATAAATATATTATCAAAGTGGTGCTTGACAACAGCCACAAAAATATAATTTGATAATCACTTGCGAACTGCATCACAGTTTGGTTTGCTCAAGTGCAAAGCAATTGGCCAGTTTTTATCAGTTGGTTCCTAAATCAGTTGTTGACAAGTCTTTTTGGGCATATGAGACTATTCCAAATGCCGTTCTATAAGCACTGGCACTTCTTGATAGCCAAAAGTGTACCAGTTAGACTTTTGACTTGTTTTTAGATTAAGTTTGAAACTCTAAAATTATCCAAACTGGCGGATCAACTAATGCACAAGCTGAGCTAAAAAACCATGATTAAGTTATTTGCAGAGCTTTTCTGATATTGATCTCAAACTATAAAAGGTATATATATTTGCTTTTGTGTTGTGCAAAGAGCATATTGCTTTTTTCTTAGTTTCATTTTCAATTAGAAAATGAAATTGATCTACTTTACAACTCTAGCCGCCTGCTTGGCAGCCGTCTACATTGAAAATGGTCTGTAAAGCTATATTATTTCAATATTTGTGGTACTAACGCGCTTTTTCAACATTAATTACAGCATTCGGTTGTCATGAACGGCACATGGGCGGTGACTCAGTCACCTGCGTCTGCAGTGCTCAACTGAATTGCGACGGGGAACATTCTCTGGAGCACCTGAACCATATCTCCAAAGAAAGTGGTCATGTGACGAGCTTTGTGTCTTCACAGGCAGGTTCACGTTTTAAACAGCACGACCACAAGTTTTCCTCCTCTGCTAATGGACACTTTAACCTGGATATTGAAATTGATCGAAACAAAAAACACCAGAAAATTGTGGGCTTTGGGGCGGCTTTTACAGACAGCGCCGGGTGGAACATTGGCCGATTGCCCCGCGATTTGCAGGGACGGCTAATTAAGGATTACTATGGACCAGACGGTATTGAATACCGCCTTGGTCGAGTCACCATTGCAGGGTCAGACTTCAGTACTCGTTCTTACTCGTATGACGATCACAATCACGATGAAAGTTTGAGCACATTTGCACTGCAGAATGAGGATTTCAACTACAAACTGCCCTTTATGCGGTGGGCGAAGGAAGTAAGCAAGCATCCAATTAAGGTGAGAAAAATGTTTTTATTTGAGAGTTTGTCAGTAATCTAACAAGCACATTTTATTTTTATTTTTTGCCGTTTACTAGTTTTTCGGCAGCGCATGGAGTCCTCCGGCCTGGATGAAGACTAACGGACAGCTAAATCACGGTGGATTTTTGAAAGGAGCTGCTGGCGGCAAATACTACGAAGTATACTTTTTTCTATTTGTGTTATATTCAAGCTAATATCAAATTTTTCTAGGCATTTGCAAAATACACAGTTAAATTCATTCAGGAGTATGCAAAAAACAACGTTTCCATCTGGGGAGTAACAGTGGTCAATGAGCCTGGTTTCGGAAATGATCGCAACTTCCGATACAACTGTCTGGGCTTTACCGCTGAAGAGCAACGCGATTACATTAAAAAGGATCTCGGACCGGAACTGCACAAAGCTGGCCTTGGCCATGTCGCAATACTTCACTACGACCACAACATTGGTAAGTTTTAATGGTAAAATAGTAGTAGCAAAGTACCCTAACCCCTAAAATAGACCACGTCGAGCACTGGGCAAACACAATTCTCGGTGACCATGACGCTGCCCAGTTCGTCGCAGGAACTGCCTATCACTGGTATGAAAGGAAGAACAACAAGTTTGATCATTCCATTCTGCAGCGAATCTCTGAGAAATACCCCGGCAAACTGCTTCTCAACACTGAAGCCTGTCTCGGTTACTCAAGATCTTCCAACCTTGGAGACTGGTAAGTAGAGATAGGAAATAATGAGGAGCGAATTTTAAACATTAATACTAACAATTTATTACTATTAATCAGGAATAACTTTAACGAGTACGCCGAAGATATTCTTGGCGTTTTAAATCACAATGTTCAAGGTAATTAAGTTTAAAAATGTTTCATCTAGCACAACCTAATTACATTAACTCTCAATCCTCCAATTTAATTCATTTATCGGCCATTTCTTGTAGGATGGGTGGACTGGAATGCTGTTCTCGATATGAAGGCAAGTATTTCTCCCCATCTTACTAGTCAATTCACTAACCATACATTGCTACCTTTTCCAGGGCGGTCCCTCATGGGCTGGTAAAAAAACTTAAACTGATTTTTAGATTTTGTTTACTAAATAGTTTCCTCTCTTTCTCAGGCACGGTAGTAGACGCACCAATTCACGTCAGCGATGATGGTCATGAGTACTACAAGCTGCCTTTGTACTATGCAATGGGACACTTCAGCAAGTTCCTCGTTCCTGATTCAGTTCGCATTGAGCACCGTTTGAAACAGGACAACGAAGGACACAACGTTGACTTTGTCGCCTTTGAGCGTCCCGACTCTAGCGTCGTGCTGACTCTGCTCAACAAAAACTCCCACAAAGTGTCCGTAAAGGTACACGATCCTAAGCACGGCTTTTTCACTGTGGATGTTGCTGCAAAATCGATGGAGTCGATGATTTGGTATTAAATGTTTTGTGAATGGTGTGTGCACAGTAGATACGTGGGCACAAAGTAAAAAATAAAATAGTTTATACACAAAAAACAAATTAAATTTATTTGATTCCGGGAATTCCACTTGGAACATGTGTTCGATATTGAATGTAGTCGTTGCCGAAGAACTCGACGAGTTTGATCTCTTCTCGAGCGATTCGCTTTTGAAGGAAAAGCCAAACAGCAACGGAGATTACAATGGTTGAGAAAGGATTCAAAAGCATGATCTGAGTACCGATGCACCAATAAAACTGTCCAACGTAGCTGGGGTGTCTCCATCGACTGTACAAACCTTCAGTGACCAGGACGTGATCTGTTTTGCGCTCCTCTTGAACGACATGATTGAAGTTTCGCCCTGCGGTCATCATGGCCATCTTCCTTATAACCTCTGCGCCCATACAGATGGCAAATCCCAGATAGCTAATGTAAAGGTGGGAGAACTTAAGTTGAGGATAGTAAATTGTTTCGATGATGAACTCAGAGAGGGGAACCAGAAGTGCAAGGTGGTGCTCGACTCCACGGTAAGTTTGGCGACTGAGCCAGCCTAAAAGTCGAGCAATCGGACCATCTGGTCGGTCTTTGGCAAAGTCATATTTCAAAACAAAGTCAGAAATGCTCACTGTGTTTGGGTTTTTCAGAGCAATGGCTACGAACTCGCTGAAATGATAAGCAGCGATAGTGAAGAGCATTAGGCCCACAGGCAAGGGAAACGGTTCTTCAGTATGCCACCAGCTGAAAGCCACCAGTTGGCAGCCAACACTAAGCTGGAACCCAAGACCTATTGAGTGAATAGTTACCTTCAAGTTCATAATGTATTAAATTATTTTGTTCAAAATAAAAGGAAAATACTTACTGATTTTTCAAAATCATTTCCAACAAATCCAGATTGAAGAAGCACAAAGAAAAGAAAGTTCCACAGTAGTTGCCAAATCAAATGGCCGATGAAAAAGTTAGCTAATCCAATTTGAAAACCGACAAGGAATCCAATAATTGGCACAAAAAAAGCCACGGATGCAGTTTTCGCAGGATTCATTTTGCATCAACCATTGGTAATAAAAATACTGAATGTTGTTGATGCTGCGAGCAAACAGTTATTAAATGACATTTATGTTTCCCTTATTGACAAACATAATCTTTATAAATAGTAATTGTAGAGAGAACTGTACCCTTACTGAAACTGATATAGTCCACTGATTTGATAGCGAAGGAGAAAGGGCAGAATGTGAACACGTGAACTGGTCGACTTTGTTACATGAATGGCTGTCTATTTTCTATATGCTTAACCTTTGGGACACTTTAAAGAGATGAACAACATTAAGCTATTGATCAAATAAAAAATCTCCATCTGACCAGAGTATAACCAGTTTTTTGCGATAAATTTTTTCAGTTTCTGTTTACTTAGATAACTAGTGTATGAGTAACCTAAAGGGGAAATTATTGTTATCTTCGAGTAAAAGCTTAAAGGAAACACCCGGGTGCTTCGACTGTATGATTTATTAAAAATAAAAAACACTATACTAAATAAGTCTAATAGTTTCCATAAAA